TTTTTAAGAAACTGCCAAACTGTTCTCCAGAGTATTTGTACATTTGCATTTTCCATAAAAGTGTACCAAGCTTCTCCTTGATAGGATCTGTATTGCCACCATTTTTAGCTTTAGCTACGCTAATAGATGTGTGGTACCGGCTTCTCTGTGGCTCTGGTCTGCATTTTCCTGAAGTGTGGTGATGTTGAACATCTGTTTGTATGCTTGTTTGCCATTCATACAGCCTCTTTAGCAAATGCTTTGTCTTTTGCCTGTTTTCTCATTAAATTGTCTGTATTTTTACTGTTGAGTTTTGAGAATTTTTCATATGAGTCTTTTGTCAGACATGTGGTTTGCAAACACTTTCTCCCAATCTGCATTTTAATTTTTCATCCTCTTACAAGGTCTTTTGTAGAGCAAAAGTTGTAAATTTTGATAAAGTCTAATTTGTGGAAATTTTTTGTTTGTGGATAGTGCTTTACCCTAATATCTAAGATCTCTCCTTTCCTGGACCTTTGGCTCCAGGAAACCAGCTTTTCTTGGGCCTTTTGGCCTGTGTCTGTCAGTGTTCCAGGGCTGTATGCTTTCAGAGTACCTCACTCAGGGTACAGTGGAGGCAAGCGGAAAGCTCAGGACCCTCATGGTGTTGTTTGTCAAGGCCCAAGGTCCCAGCTCGTTCGTTCTTTCCACTACTCAGAGTCACAGGTTTATTGTGCATATCATGTCTGTGGTTTTTATCCATACTTAGCTGGGAGGATCCGGGAGCAGTCTGTCTGTTCCATCTTGTCTGGAACTAGAAGCTGGCTTACAGGATTTTGAGTCTGCTGTTTTGTCCTCATATTTTCCATCCTGGAAATACTTTGATAACATTTTATGAACGCAAATATGTGAAACAGAACTGTATGAACATTGAGTTTTTGTGGAGAAAGCATTTTCTGGAGCAAATCTGGTTAAATCAATTTAAAATAAAAAGAGAAACACTTGAAACATTTCACTGCCATGTAGAAAGTTGGTCAAGGAATTATTTTACCAAAATTATTTATTTTTCTTTTCTTTTCTTTTCTTTTTTTTTTTTGAGGAAGATTATCCCTGAGTTAACTGCTGCCAATCCTCCTCTTTTTGCTGAGGAAGGCTGGCCCTGAGCTAACATCCATGCCCCTCTTCCTCTACTTTATATGTGGGACACCTGCCACAGCATGGTGTGCCAAGCGGTGCCATGTCTGCACCCGGGATCCGAAATGGTGAATCCTGGGCCGCCGAAGCGGAACGTGCGCCCTTAACGACTGTGCCACTGGGCCAGCCCCATCAAAATTATTTTTAAGATCAATTCTCTCCCAAGTAAATTTTGCAGTCAAGCTTTGATTCACAGGTCAGTTTTTCTGTCCACACAATTTCTTATTAATTTCAGCTTTTGCCAGTGTATACTTTCTATTGTGGTCATATTTTTCAATTCCAATATTTTCTAGATCATTTTTACAGATTTGGGTCTGCCAAAGAGGTTTCGAGTCTTCCGACAGTTTTACCATGTGCATTTTATCCTGTCACTTTTCTTTGGTGCTGATTAGTTTCTGCTGTAAGAATCATTAAGAATTGAATGAGGCCTTAGTCTTTCGTGTTTATTTCTTAGCTAATCTTCGAGAAAATATTTCTCCCAAATATCCCAAAATGGCTTTATTGTTTAGGCTGGACAGCCTTCTTTCACTATCTAAATAAAAATAAGCCAAACCTGTATCCTCAGAGACCACCAGAAGCCCTGTGCCCTCCCCAGCACTTCTGGGGAGCCTGGGGTGGGGGAGGTGCTCCCAGGTCTGAGTGTGGGAGGAACAGAGGACTCCAGCAGGAGCCAGCTGCGAGGAGGTGCTGCTGCCCTGGCACAGGAAGGAAAAGAAGGTGGGGAAGGGGCTGGAAAGGGTGGGGGTGGGGTAGGAGTCAGGGGAGCAGTAAGCCCAGGACAATGGCATAACGGAGGTGCCTTTGATACATGGGGAAACTCAAACTTATGCAATTACTTTTTCCTTAAACTCCCAGTCTCTCTGTGAGCATCTTCAGTAAGTCATTCACACACCTTCCACTTTGTCACAGGTGCATCCTGTCATCACACCGTGTCACTCTCACGGTGGTGTGTCACTCCATGAGGAGTTGTTCCATGTCCTGCTCATTCTGACAGTGCCTCCATCCAGGAGGAAAATCGCCTCTGATGGCAGTGAGTTCAGAAGAGCTAGCTCTGGTTGCCACGAGCGATGTCGCCCATTGACATTTTCCTGGCAGAGTCACTGTGATTGTCAGCAGAGCTGCCTGGCTGGGCCAGTGAGCTGGCAGAGGAGGGCTCCTCTGACATGCGCTTGCTGGGCAGAAGCCCCTCGTCCAGGGTGACCAGGGCTGAGGAAGAGGAGGTGTTCTGCTGAACAAGGACACAACCAGTGGCATGCAGGGTTCACGTGGGACGCAGCTGCTGAGCCATCCTCCCACTTCCTCTCTGCCAAAGCAGCACATGGCCAGCTTGGCCAAGAGAACCAGGAGGTTTCCCAGGCCAGAGCTCCCTTAAAAAAGTGTTCTTGTTTGCTTGTGTGTTTGTTCTTAACAGGCACAGTCAACTGAGCTGCCCGAGACAGAAGGAGGCAAGGGGAGGTGTGAGCCAACAGCCCCAGGGCTCTCTCCTCAAGGCACTACTGTGAGTCCCAACTGTGCCTTCAGTGGCCAAGATGCCTCAGCTCCAGGACTGGGGCATGCTTGCTGATGGTGAAGGCCTGCAGGACCCACACAGCAAGGACTGGCTTTCCAGCACTTCAACAAAGGAAAATGGCTGAGTTTTCCCTGGGCTCCTCTGCCTTGTGGCCAGCATCGCAGCTCAGCTGCCGCTCATCACCTCTTGGACAGGTCGGGCACTGAGCACCTCCTGGGCCTCAAGACACTCCCTGACTCTCCCCTCTGCTCCCTCTGCACTCCGCCTGGGGCCTCATCTGCTGCCTCATCTTTAGTGAGGAGGGAAACACCAGACCCATGTCGAGGCCTGGGCTCCAGATCCAAATATCCAACCGCCTTCTGCCCTCAGACGTTCGGTGAGCATCTCCAGGCTGGGTTTCAAAGGCCCGGCCTGTGTCTCCTTTCCCCTAGCACACGTTCCTCCCTGCCTCATAACATCCCAGTAAATTCTGTTTCTCCTGCAACCCTCCTCTCCAGGCTGTGGAGAGCAGGCCCAGCCCAACTCCCCAAACCAGAAACTCTTCTATCGCCCTCTCCCTGCATCCCTTCCTCGTAGACTTCCACATTCATGGATTCCTCCCCTGTGAAGTCTCAAATCGGGCCCTCCTGCCCTGGCCTGCAGTCCCAGCTTTAGCAACTTGCGCTTTCACTCTTGGTCTTCCCTTCCTTCTGGATCTATCCCTGACACCTCACCTATTTTCCCCTTCTCCCTTTGCCAGAGGGAGAGGCCCTAAACTCATATCTGAATGCGCAACCACCACGTTGCCATAGCCCTTTAGGGATCTCTGTTGCCCACAGGGGAACCCAGAGGGTGACGTTCAAACTGCCAAGTCTGACCAAGGTCACCCAACGGTCCCAAGATGTCAAGCCTCCTTGAATCTCTCTTTGCTCTAAGTCAAAACAATCTGGACTGAGTCCTTCGTGAAATCCTGCAGCCTCCCTGAGGACTTCTGGGTTCCCAGGGGCTCTGACACCCCTGTCCACCTTTCACTCCTCACTCCTGCCCCCATCCCAACAGGCGCTTTCTGCTGCTGCAGGCTGTGCGTGCATCCACTGGCCTCTCGGGGCACACAAGCCTTAGCATGCAGCATCGACATACTTGACTGAAGATTCAGGGATGACCCAAAGAAACAATGACCCTGAGAGAAACAAAACAGACTTAGAATTGTGCATCTGATTTCAGTGCTCCTGAGCTCCTCATTCATCTCTCCCCTTTTGGGTCCCCTGCCTGGAAGATGGATGACGAGTTAGGAGAAGCAGTGTTTGGGTCCCAGGGCTGGCAGAGGCGGTGTAACTGTTCACATTGGGGGTGTGCAGACGCAGGATGGGGAAGGGGCCTGGAGAGGACTATGGCTGCGCTCCGAATCAGACCCCTGAGTTCCGGTCCCTGTTGCAAAATTGCGTGGTTGTGTGTGTCATTTCCCTTTCCTTGGCCTCCACCTCCTTATCTGAGAAATGGGAATAATAACCCTTGCCTTACTTCCCAGAGTTATGAGAATCAAATGAGAAAATACAGGCAGCTGTAAAAATATAAAAGTATAGTATTTGCATTCATCAATTCCTTAAGGACATGGGGCCAGAGTTGAGGGGCAGGCCAGACTCTCCTCCATGCAGACTTTACAATCCAATCCTAAGACCATAACGTGTCTAAAACATTACAAATTTAGAAAATGCCTTTTCAATATGGTGAAGAAAATAAGGAGGCCCCGTGATGGGCAGAGCTGAGGCCCACTGCGGAGAAAGCCGGCCACAGCTTCAGTGGAAAAACAAACCACCTGAGCGTGTCCCACGGAGAGCCTGACGCTGGAAACAGCCATCGCAGGCAGATGATAAATGCTGCGGGGGTTTCACAGCTTGCGGGAGTCGACTTTGCTAGAACCAATAAGAGCCTCCTTGACTTAGAGAATAAAGCCCTTGTGACTGTATATGCTTTCAGGGGGAGCCCTCCTGGGGCTCATGGCTCACTGTGTGAATAATGCACCCAAAAACTTTCCCAGGAAAGGAACATGGGGGACTCAGGAAATGGTACGTTTGCAAGATGACCCCTTAGTCCTGTGGCTAGTGGAGTTGGGACCCTACTGGCCAGCAACAGCAGCCCTCAGACAAAGATATGATGCCACCAACCACAGCCACACACACAAACAAGGAGAAGGGGAGGCAAGGTCTGTCCCCAAGCTATCAGGTCTCTGACATGTGGTCAGTGGCATGTGGTGTAGCTGCCATGTGACCCAAGGGACCAGTTGCCCCACTGCTTTGTCAAAGCTGAACTTCTTGAAGGCGCCCCAGAAAAGAGCTCTTCCACAGAGAGGAGAGAAGCGTTGCTTGGTCAGGGCCCCTGCCCTCCTTGGCAGCATCCTTGCTGGCCCAGGTTTATTGAAGGTGTGCCCTCACCTTTTCTTCCTACTATTCCATTTAAATAAAGAATATGGACTTGCTGCCAAAGTCCACAGGAACATTCTCATCCAAGTTTAATAACAGGAAGATCAACTTTGACCTTGATGACTCTATGAGAGTTTCTTGCAAACACGTTTCCAGGTTCCAGACATGGCCACCTTCCTGCTGCGAAGGTTTATTAGCAACCTGCCAAGGAATTGGAAGATATTTCTTAGAGCGCAGCTCGAGATGTCTCTGCGTCTGTCCCCGTGCCAGCCCAGAAGTGCCTCTGGGTGGTGGGGGAAACGATGCCACCAAGCTGCAAATCTAAGGACGCCTGCCTTCCTTCTGAAGCTCCAAGCGCTGCCCCTGCGTCGGACTCTGCAGCTGCTGCACCCACCACCGCCTGCTCCTGGAGATGAAAGCCGAGAAGACAAACGGGGGATAAAAATAGCAGGCTCGGGAATAGAGTTCATTAAGCATTCGATTGTCTTTGCCCCAAATGATATTCCTGGGAATTTTGCTTAAAATCATTTCCTACTGTGTTTTAAAAAAAAACAAAACAAAACCAAAAAATAAAACCTCATTCTTGTCTCCACCGATTGCTCCTGGCAGACGTCAGTATTTTCTTTCAGTCTGGAATGGAGGGGTCTGAATTCTAAATTGGTTTGTAGCAGCATATATTGTTAAATCAGTTTTAAAACGTGGATGCTTTGTTCCCAAATATGAATGAACTAGTTAGAACTTGAAAAATCAGAAACAAAAACCAAATAGCCTCAGACATTTGTTGTATACTCTGGCACAATTGTAGTATAAATTAACGTTAAATTCAGGAAAAAGCACTCCAGTGGGTGTGCGGCGTATGCATATTTTAGGGCCTTTTTGCTTGCCTCAGACCCTGCAGCCTCTCCTGTCCTTTCTCTCCCGTTCCCCTCACCTCCCACGCACACGCTGAAATTTTGAAGTTAGACTTTTAAAAACTGTTCAAGGAGGAATAGCCTTTCATGTTCAAACCATCATCCTCTTGGCGCTTGTGAAATTCCGGGTACACCTGACTCAGAGGATGCACAAATGGCCACCCACGTTGCGTTGGGAGGGAGGACCCAGAACTCCCCCACGGAGTGAATTGTCTCTAAGTCAACATCTGCCCGCCGGCCTGAGTCTCCCGCTCCTCCTTGAGGATTTGCAGATGGGCAGGAACTGCTCCGTTCCCCCTCCTCTGAGAGAGTTTTCCCTTTTCTCCTCCTTTTCCTGCTTTGTTCCTTCCCTGTAGACTGCCATTCACCCTGCCTCCCTCCCCAGCCTGGAGGGCAGATTCGAAGACTTACTCTTTAAGTTTGCCCTAGCAAGACTGTTTCTTAAAAATTTAACACACTTTCACACCTCCTCAGGATGGCAATCCATTGTTTGCAACGTATTCCCCACTAGCCAAGAGGGGCCAAGGTTCAAGTTCAAATCCTTAGGATTCTCCTAGCAGTGGAATACAGTGCCTGAGAACTGAGTAGGTGTTTTTTCCTCTCAAATTGAGAGGAGTTGAAACAGAGGCTTAAATTGGACAGAACCAGTGGCGTGGGATGGAATGCCTCAAGTACATGTCTTGTCGTGGCGGCTCACTGCTATTTGACTTCTCTGAACCTCTGTCTCCTCATCTGAAGGAGTAGAGAAGTCGTACTCACCAAACCCCCTCTCAAGCTAGATACAAGACCTGAAGAGTCCTCATCTCTGCCCGCTGTCCCTATTCTTCGCAATATTATTGCAAATGATTTGAAGACAAATGGAATATTTACTGATAATGATTTCTGGCAAGACCAACTAAAGACAGTCACAATAACCCGCTCCCTCTGAGATCTGAAGAAAGACCTGGTCCTGTCACCCCTGCAAGGCTCTTTCTGTAGACGGGGCACCTTCAAGTCTGACCTCTTTGGAGAGCTCAGCTTGGCCCACTCTAAGAGAAGACTCTAAGCCAACAAGCCCTCAACCAGAACTTCCGCCATTCCATTTTGCAGCTGCCTCATAATACCCTAGAGTGGAAAGAGACCTTAGGTAACAGCCAGCCGGAAGTCTTCATTTATGAAGAGATGCAGACACCAAAGCCCAGAGATCAGACACGGCTTGCCCAAGGTAGAGCAGCTAGTTGGTTCAGAGAAAGGAGTTAGTAAGAGGTTAGTGCAGACACAAGCTCATACTGCCGCTCTGAGGCTGGGTGTGGAGCTCCCTGATTGACACATCACAAGGACAGGCGTGTGGGGTCCAAGTCCCTTCCTCGGTCAAGCGGCAGAATGAGTGTCATATCCCCATCCTCCACCATCACCTTCCAGGGACTACCCAACCTTCCCCACACCCTCCCACCTCCTGCCTGGCTTTTAGGACTCTCACTATTTGCTTTGGAACATCTTCTGTTCACCGACTGGGAATAAGTGTGAGAATTCCAAGGGAGTGGTTTCTATGGCAACAACAACCTCATGGAAAGTTTCAGAACTTTTACCTCCTACTCAGAGTACTGCAGACATTCAGAAAGCATAAGGCATAAAGACGAGTGCTAATTATCTGACCTGAATTTGCTGTGGTGGGCAGAAGAAAGACAAGTGCAATGCAGCCTGGCAGACATTCCTCATCGGCACATATCCAAATGACTTTCTGGAAGTGAATCATTGTCATATTATTATAATTTCCTGTTAGAGGTGGCACCAGGGATCACACTGAGGGTCATTTGTCTTGCACCGTGAAAGGCTCGGCCTCATGCCTTTGAAGGTGCAGCGTTGTTTTCTCGTCAAGTTGGCAGAAATGATGATCTCGTTGATTCGATGTCTCTATAGCTGAGATGTCGGTGGGGCTGTCAGGTACTTATCCAGCATTATTGTGGTCCCGACAGCCCCTTACACCACTAGTTCTCTCCATGGCAGCAGTCCTTTGGAGACAGAACCACCAGGTAAAAGAGATTGCCTATTAGATGAAGTCTGGCATTCTGGGGTCCCCTTGGCCCATTGTGAACAGAAGAGCTTGGGTCACTGGGGCTTTTATCTGTTGGCATGGGAGGACATGCTCACATTGCCTTAGTTAGCAAGACCAGCTTCTCATCCATAAATGACTACTGGAGCATTCTGGGGCCTTCTCCCTCCATGCATCACTCAACATCAAGCATCTGCAATTACAAAAGCTTGCTTCCAAGGATGCTGGGATAGAGATGGTGGGACAGAACCTTCAGCAGTCCCTCCACTGATGACATAAATATGGCTCCTAGTGTAAGCCTGGAAATCCTTTTCCACTCTGCCCAGTAGTACTCCTTTGCGAAGTTAATAGTCAGAGAGATCTGCTTTACCCAGACAAGACGAAATCGAGGCAGGCCAGCCCCCAGAAGCAATTCTTGTTTTACCAATTAGCGTAACTTTGCAGACCCAACAAATCATGAGGTAGAAATGCCTCTATTGTAAGGTCTTAACCTTTTAGGTTGACATTAAATTGGAAGAAACTGCTCATGTTAGAAATAATTACTGCTGATAATGAATACAATTAAGCATAAAAGAATCTTTATAACTCCGGGACCATTTGTGCACTTAGAAATCGGCTCATATTTTTCCCTTCACAGATGTTACAATAATGGTGTCAACACTTTTATTTCTTTGTCCATAAGCTGGAAATTATGGCTGTTTCATAAATCGCTAACGTGCTCAGGAGATGGAGGCCCAGCTGCAGAGCACATGAGTTCAGGCTCCTGCCCCAGCCTCATGTTTCATGATGACCTCAGCTTCCTGTGCCGAATGGGAACCGATGCGAGTAAGTACTTGTAAAACTGTTTTTGAAGAGTGAAGTTATGAAGAGGTGCTGCGGTGTCAAACATCTGCTTCATCCATTACACTCAAATAGGAGCTGGGAATGTACAGTAGGCGTAAGAAGCATCAATAAATTAAAATTCTCCTGTGAGCACACTTTCCAAGACTGTGCCAATTTGAACCATGAAAGAAAAAAAGATGCTAAAGAAGAGAAGAGAGATTTTTGCTCCCTCTACCAGAGCTGGTTTGGGGAGTAATAATTAGAATCTGATTTTCCTTATGCAGCTGATGGGCTTCTGTCAAAATAGAAGCATTTTAATGGCTGCATGAGACAATGAGGGTCATATTCATTTTCTCCCTCATGATATTGTCTTCATCAAAATACTAGAAGGTGAAAGAACACACATAAAATGTCATTCTAGTTCAATGTGTAGGTTACAGATGGCATAAATACCTAAATAATTATTTATGATATCTGGAATTCAATACTATTAATTATGTTAGGTTGTGTCACCATGCCAGTAACACCCATTTTGTCAAAACTGATGTAGGTATTAATTATGAAAGAAAAATATACAGAAACCTAATCGAGTTTTAAAGTTTTTAAGTGCGTTGTTTCGAGTTGATGTTCTAAATAAGCAGTTTAGGTAGGAGACGTCCCCCACCCTGTTCTCACACACGTGCACATGCCACCACGAGCAATCTAAAGCCCGGCCCATCTACACTGCCAGAGGAGGGAGTCAGGAAATTGGAAATGGAATGCTCAGTAATCCTCGCAGCCTTTCCCCCTGTCCAGGCTTCTTCCCCCTCACATCATATATCAGAGACAGTCGAGACTGTTCACAACCCCACATCACTCCTGGTACTGGAGGCCAGGTCTCTGAATGCGCTGGCAGCGGTGGGGGGGACTGGTGCGCCTGGCGATAGGAAACACGTGCAAGGCTGTGTGTGCAGCTTGCAGCTGGGGGATTCAGAGTATGCCCTGAGGTGTTACTGTGAAGCTTCCTTCTGGGATGACCCAGGTGACCGGCCAGTCCTTGCTAGAATGTCTAGAGTGGATGACACAACTGTTTCCGCTCCTGGGTGGCATTTGGTATGCTCATATCCTAGAGCATCCATCACTCTCAAACCACAATCCTTCCAAAAGTAACTATAAATACCTGTTAGGCCAAAAACTCTAGATTTTTGCCTCATTTATTCCCTAAATAAATAAGTGACATGAGGCCGGCCTGGTGGTGTAGTGGTTAAGTTCTCATGCATCACTTAGGTGGCCCAGGTTTTGCAGGTTTGGATCCCGGGTGCAGACCTACACCCCACTTATCAAGCCATGCTATGGCAGGCATCCCACATATAAAATAGAGGAAGATGGGCACAGATGTTAGCTTAGGGCCAATTTTCCTCAGCAAAAAGAGGAGGATTGGTGGGAGATGTTCGCTTGGGGCTGGTCTTTCCTGGGGAAATAAGAAAAAATAATAAATGAATGAATAAATAAATAAGTGATAGTGGAAAAATCATATCTCCCCACCTCAGTTTCTCTTATGTGTAAAATGAATTGTGTGACACTGATCAACAAGGACTAAATTCAATCTTTGCATCTCCTTTTAAAAATTCTGATACTAATCCGAGATGATAAATTAGAAACCTTATTCACATTATGCAAAATTATTCAAAACAGATGGCGGAGTCAATTTAAAGGCTATTTTTTTTTCCTATCCCTAAGAACAAGTGCTGTTTTGGGGAAGGAAAGAGAGTCGATTTTAATCTGTTTGCCCTTTGAAATGACCATCAGTAACCTACTTCCAATTACCTGTGGCCTCTGACTGTGGGCCTGGGAGATGGCTTTATGAGTTCGAGGCTGTTTGCATTGCCACCAGAATATCTATAAAGGCACTGTCGGCCCACGTGCTTTCAGAGTTTCTAATTGGTTTCTTAAGCAAAGGGAGCGTTCAATAAGTATTTGGCTTCAAAGTCATTGTTCTTAACCACCAAACTCAAGTGAGGTTTGCTCTTTTAGGCAAACTTGGGTTTGAATCTCAACTCTGTCATTTACCAGCTGAGCGACCTGGCAAGCAGTGTACGTCATCCTCAAGCCTGATGATCTTCATCCCGAAAACGAGGCTATTTGTGTCTACAGGACTGTTCAGGGCACTGAAGGAGTCAATGCAGAATTATTAGCATAGTTCCTGGGACATAGAGGCACTTTCCAGCAGTGCCCATTATTACTGTTGTTATTAATAATATTTTAATCATGCGATTAATAATATTTTAATCTGGCCAGTTTCCTACACTCTCTCTCCCTCATCTGCCTGCCTTGGTGTAGCTATAGTCAAGCCAATTTGTCTTGGATAGTTGAAGACAAATTTGAAGCTATGAGGGCCTTGTGGTGTTCTGATTTCGTCTGAGTTACTGTTATGTGTTATTATTACTCATTCCAAAGTGATTAATGTATGATTCATTATTTCATCCCATTTAACCAATAGTTATTAAAATTTTGGTGTACAGAGCAAAATCTACAAATGCAACATTTTGTGAGGAAAAGTGGAAAAGTGCTAGTGGATTAATAAATGAGCAAAGGTACGTGAGGACTATATTGGAGCCAATCCCTTCCAAAGTTATTAAGGCCCAGAGAAGCCCTGGAGGAGCCAGAGACGCACTCAGTGCAAGTGCATGAGTCCTGACGTTTGCCCACGTGGAGCCCTATGCTTCATTGCTCTGGCTCTCCTTAGTTTCACCCGCACATCCAAAGAGTTGGACACACGCAACCCGAGGGGGTCCTTTCACCTCTGACAGTGCTGTGAGCTCTTGAGAGGGCAGTTTGAATGAATACTCTTTAATAATATTTTAGAGTTGAAATCTCCCACTATAATTATGGATTTTTTCATTTCTACTTTCAGTTTTCTCCGTTTTTGTTTATGTATTTTGAGGCTCTTTTATTAAGGGTATACGTATTTAGTAAAGTTATACCTTCTTGATGAAGTCACCTGTTCATTATTATCTAATACCTATCTTTTTTCGTCCCTGGTAACATTCTTCACCAAAGTTCTACTTTGTCCAGGATTAATATAGTCTCTCCGGCTTTATTTTGTTTTTGCTTTTTGATTAGTGTTTTCTGGCATTTCTTTTTCCATTCTCTTACTTTTAACTTTTATGTGTCTTTATATTTAAAGTGAATTTCTTAGAGATAACATACAGTCAGCTCTTGCTTTTTTGCCCATTCTGACAAACTCTGCCTTTTAATATTGGCATTTAAACATTGACATTTAATGTAATTTCTAATATAGTTGAGTTTAAATATATCATGTTGCTATTAGTTTTCTATTTGTCCCATCTATTTTTTTTTGTTTCCCTTTTCCTCATTTTCTGTCCTCTCTTGGGTTGAGTGTTTTTTATGATTCCATTTTTATCTTCACGATTGGCTTATTAATTATAGTTTTATACATTTTGCAGGCTGCTTTAGGGTTTGTAATAATCCTCTTTATCTTATATCAGTCACCTCAAATACTATTATACCACTTCCGGTAGAATGTACTAATCTTATAACAGTAAACTTTCATCTCTTCCCCCCATCCATTGTGCTAGTGTTGTTACGCATTTTTTTCTATGTATAAGCCCACAATATATTTTTACTATCTTTGCTTTAGACAGTCAAAGATCCTTTAAAGAAATTAAAAATCTTAAAAATTCTTTTATATTTATCATTCTTTTTGCCATTTCTGGAGCTCTGCATGGCTTTGTGTAGAATTAAATTTCCATCCGGTATCATACTGTCTCTGTCTGAAGAACGTCCCTTCATTTTTATGGTGCAGTTCTGACAATGAATTTGCTCAGCTTTTGTTTGTAAGAAAAACTCTTTGTTTTGCTTTCCCTTTGAAAGGTATTTTCACTGGCTATAAAATTCTTGGTTAGCAGTTTTGTTTTGTTTTGCTTTATATTCCTTAGTATTTTAAAAATATCACTCTGTTATATGCCAGCTTTCAAAGTTTCTGACGTTAAACCTCCGATATTTCTCATCTTTGTTTCTCCATGTGTAACGTTTATTTTCTTTGACTGTCTTCGAGATTTTCTCTTTGGTTCTTTAGTGGCTCAACCATGATCTGACAAAGTGTGTGTTTAATTTATCTTTCTCAGAGTTCTTTGAGCTTTTTGGTTTTGTGACTTGTTTGACTTTCATTAATTTTGGAAAATTCTGGTCATAATCTCTTGAAATATTTCTTCTGTCCCATTCCCTTTTTTACCTTCTGGGATTGTATTTGCAGATATGTTAGACCATTTGATATTATCCCACATGTCTTGGGACTTCTGTTCTCTTTCTCGTCCATGCCTCTACTCTTTTTTCTCTTTGTTTTTCAGTTTGGATAATTTCTATGGATTTAGCTTCAAATTCACTATCTTTTCTTTATGTGCTCTGTCTAGTCTGCTAATGTATCAATTGAAGGAATTTTTTACTCTGCTATTATGTTTTTTATTTCTAGCATTTTCATTTGACTCTGTTTTGTAGTCTCCATTACTTAGCTGAATTCCCTGCATTTGTTCATGCAAATTGTCCACTTTTACCCTAGATCTTTAACATATTGATTGCAGTTATTTTTAAGCCCCTCCTGTTAGAGCCCACGTCTGGTTCAATCTGGGTCTGTTTCTGTTGGCTATCTTACCTCTTGAAGGTTTTTTCCCCTTGCTTTTGTCTGTGTGTGTTTTGTGATTTTTGATTGGAAGAAGGACATTAAGTATAGAAGAATAGTAGATACTGAGGTAAAGTGTGTTTGTGCTTAAAATCAGCATACTTCTTCCTCTGTCAGATCATTATTGTGTGGAGTTGAGTCAATCTAGTCCCTAGCTGAGTAGCATTTGGGTTTTGTTGTTGCCATAGTTATACATAGTGCACCACAGACTTAAATCCCTTCTCTGGTGGGCTGCCGCAGTCTTGTTCTTTGTGTGGGCCTGGCTGCCTGAGGGTTCTTCAGTGTTCCTGTTCTAGCTTTAGCTTCCAAAAGTTCCTGCACACCTCTGTAAACTGGGGGGGCCCTCTCCACGATCTGCATTCCTTCAGTGGCCGACTACCGTTGCTTGTACCTCGTGTAAGACCTGGGGTGAGATCGGGGGCTGGTTCTCATCTCTCCTAGCCTAGCCTCAGTCTTGGGCAGGCTGTGTATATCTGTACATTCAGGTGGGGTTTCAGTGTTCCTGCCTCCTCCACTGGCAGCCGGATTTTGCTGTAGATCTTTAAGAGTGTCTTTGTTGGGGGAGAGTTTCCTGCCCCTGTCCCAGAGGGAGGCTTCCAGGCTCCTGTTTGGGGCAGAGAAAGCTGCATTTTGTCTCTATGTCTTCTAGGGAGGCAGTGAGTCTTTGCCTGTGTCCTGGGGTGGGGGTAGGGGTTTTCTGTCCCTTCCTCAATGGTTTAAGACTTTTTCTTAATATGAGAGAAAACTCTGAGAAGAGGGGTTTAGTGCATATGTGCCAACGAAGGGAGCTCACACAGGTCATCTCTCCTCCCCTAGCCTTTCTCGTAAGCACCTAGTAGTGGCCAGTGGAAAGGACCTTGTGAGGGATTGTGGATTCTCTTTGTATCTGGGGCTCCCAGGCATTTAAAAGCCTCATTGTAGCCCACTCACACTTGGTCTCTAAGAGTTTGTTAAAATTTCAGCTTTTTTCTTCTGACTTGTGTTCATGATATCTGCCTCTTTTTCCCCATGCACTGCCAAAAGTGAAACCATTAGTATGTCTGATGTCTCCTAGGAGAGGCTTGTCAACATTCAGAATTCAGTTTACCTAGTTGCCTTGTGACATCAGTTCAAGAAAATGTGAGATTTATAGATTATCCAATTTTTTAAAAAAATCGTTGTTATAGTGGGAGCAAAGATCTGTTGAAGGTTTCTACATCCTAAATGGAAGCAGAACTCCCAGGCAGAGGAAACTGGTAAAATGACTCCTGAGGCCTTTTCTCAAGCTCTGAAGAATGGCGGTGACTTGGTTGGGAGCCTTGAAGCTGTGCATTCAAAGGAGTATTTCTGCCTCATCTTTTCTGTATTTCTCTAAACTCACCCCCTTGTTTTCTCTTATATTTACTATGCATTCCCTTCTCAGCGTCCTTTGAAAAAGGAGAGAGCATTAGTAGAATTGGCTGCACCAGGCACATAGACACCAATAAAGAGTGCATTTTAATAGATTTTTTAAATTTAAAAAAATTCAACTATATTATAAATTCTTCTCAATTGTGTTTTTTGCGTGTGTGGTACCTGCTTTGTGAGCTACCTCAGGGGTACATCTATTGGGCTTGGCTTTTGGGAAGAGCAGAGAACTGTCATAAAACTTACTCCGTGCATATACTAAAAGAGGTGATAGGTTTGCTTAGCAAACACATGGTAGTTTTCAATGATGATATTATCCCAGAAAATAGATGAGTAATGCCAGAAAATAGATGAGTAATGCCGTTACACAATACTTGTTGGATAATTATTTGCAGATAATCCATGATTCCATCTCTGGAAGACATTATTATGCTCTGAAAAATTTTGGACTATTTGGTACTTACTATTTGCATAAATTTTGTGCTTTCTGCCCATTACATTATTTCACACCAGCAAGACAGATGATACGCTATGATAGAAATGAGAACTTCAATGAGTAGACTGAGAGGAATTTGGGTTCCCTCATGGATTGGTGAAATAGTCTGACTAGACACCCATGTAGGATCATTACTTTTTTGTTAAGTGAATTTAGCTGTGTTTGGTAGGTTTTCTACAGTACGATGCTTACTGGAAATTTGAGAGAAGTTGAGGATGGGTTAATCTCTGTAGATAAAGATTTGAATATGTTTTTTAATATAACAATTCGTATTTCAACATTTTAACGGTAAAACTACCATTTAAGGGCTCAACATAGAGATGCCAATGACAATGATAACAGGAACAGCAACGCCCTGTCTGGAAGCTGAGGTGGTAAGGGTGGAATAGCCCAAAGAGAACTTGATGATCACTTTGCTCAAGTTCCTTCCCTCTGCCTAGAAATCTTGTCGTCATCTTCCCTTCGGTATCTTTTCTGCCTTGGTCTCCCATCCTGGTCAACCACACCCGTGTCCACCAGGCCCCAGCCTGGAACTGAGAGGTGTCTTTTGCTCTTAATTACCTTGTTTGCCAACAGCTGTACCAGCAGACAATTCTTATTGCCTCTTCTTTCTCTTCTTAATATCTGTGCTCTCTCTCCTCTCCAGCCCATAGTTCAAATTATTGCTGTTTCTCATCTGTAGGTAGAGTGGCCTTCTGATTGGTCTGCTTCCCTACATTTCAGACTTCTCCAAATCCTCCTCCATCATCCGCCAAAATGACCTTTCGAAACTGCAAATCCAATCATGTGACCGTCTTACCAAATGTTTTGTTATTTTCCCCTTAACTACAAGATGGAGTTCAAATTCCTTATCCTGGCATAAATGCCCCCCATCGTCTGGCCCCTGAGTGTATCCTCAGCATCTTCCCTCGCCATGACCTCCAGCCACCTCCCCTGCTGCCAGCTAAGGCCCAGCTAAGGGACCCTCAGCCTTTCACACCTCTGTGGCTGGTCCTGCTGGCCCCTGGGCTACTCTCCTTCCTTCCCTCTCCCTGTTGAATTCCTCCTGCCTTCAGGGATCAGCTCAAGGCCTACTTCTTTGGAGAAACTCTGCCTGTCTTCCCCTCTTTCTCTCTCATCCTCTACCCTCAACATTCTCTTCTGTGAGCTACCGGTGTAGCCGGGAAGGCTCACCTTTATCAATGGCTCATAACAACTTAGTGCATCTATTGGTTTGATGTCCATCATCTCCTCCTGGTGTGTGTAAACCTTTGCCCCTTTGCAGGGGGCAGCTGAGTGAGGTTGGGGACAGGGCTTGTGTCTTATTGCAGTTTTTTATCTGTATCTTGTCATGATCCTTCATGCATATAAGTTAGCAAATGTCTATTAAATAAATGTAGGTTGCCTGATGGAATACGGTTTTCTGAGATCATGTCTTATGCTTTCGAGTAGCAGAGGACAGAGAAGTGGCACTTTGGAAAGTTTGATGAGATGAGGCGTGGATGTGGCATATATATGCTGTTAGAGCTTTCTCCTGGCATTTCAGGGTCAAGGTCAAAGTGGGCAGTTAGTATTTGTGAACCCTTGGGGTAGAAAGCACTGTTACGGCCTCTAAACATCAGTGTGACCTCATATGCTCTGTCCCTTCCTTTATGGGATTTTCTGAGTCATTTCATTCTTTACAAGACTTCCAGCTGTGCTTGTCATGCTTGCGAAGCCCACATTTCTCTCCAGACCACAGTCCTTCCTCAGAATCATTCCTGCTTTTCCAGTGGCTTCTTAGGCAATTCCACTTGGATGAGTCATACAGGTACCTTGACTACGGACAACCCAAACTGAAGTCACTCTTTCTCTTCCTTTCTCATCCCCTGCCCCGGACACTTTCCCATGCTCTTTGCCCCTGGGTTGATGCCATCATTATTAACTTTCTCATGTCATCTAGACCTCTCAGGCATCTTTGAGTCTTTCCTTTGAGTCCTTCTCAGCAGTCCACTAGTCACCGAGTCAGGCCCATTCACCTCTGAAACCTCTTATATCTGCCCCTTCCTTGCTTAGATAATTGCACCAGCTCCCTGGCAGGTGTTCTTGCTCCTGGTTCTCCCCACTTCTCAGGCCACCTTCCAACCTTCCATTAGCACCATCCAAGGTACATAAGGCTCAGAGTTCTTCTCGGAGTATACAAGGCCCTTCACAGTTGGCCACATTGGGTTTGCTCTCTGCTCCTTTGCAGTGTAGGCACTGTGCTTTGGTCTTAGGACTCTTTCTTTCTCCTGAACACAGTGTGAGCTGCCTGGACCCATCCTCTGCTCTTGCTCTGCTATGTTCCTATTCCTGCAACACTTTCTTCTCATTTCTTTGCCTTGAAAACTCTGACATCATATTTAATATCCTGTTAAAATATCACCGCTCCCCCTGCATGAAATCATCCTGACTTCCCCATCAAAGTCAGTGCTTTCCTTCTCTTCGTGCCAGGAAACTTGAGTATGTACCTCCGGTGAGAATTTATCACACAGTATCGCAATTTCTCTCCGTTGGTCTAGGAAGTGCCTGGGGACAGGGACTGTGTCTTGCTCACCTAGGCACCCTCAGTGCCTTGCACAAGGCCTGGAAATCACAGGTACTCAAATATCTGAACATAAGTGTGAATTAGAAAGATCAAAGACTTGTGGGGTTGGCGGTTGCAGGGAGAAAAGGGGGCTGGCGGTTAGGAAGAGAAAGTGCAGGAACAGATGAGGGCCCAGCTTGCACTGAGGTGTTTATTTGTTTTTGATAATGAAACCTTGGGAGAAGGGGTAAAAAAGAAAACATGGTCCTTAACTAGTCACCTTTTTCTATTATTCCTCTTCCTGGGGATGGAGCCAAGATATATTTAGAAGGGGTCTAAAGTTTCTTGGTAAAGTTTATGATTCTAGGACAAATCAAAAAGGTTTTTGCATTGTATGCATTTTTTTTCTGGCACATGGCTTAGCAATTGCACTCTGCAGGTCCGCAAGGACTCTTGCAGTTCCAAGATTCTGCGAAATCGTCTCCAGTAAGTCTTTGTAATAGGGAAGTCCAAGACAAGATGTTGCTTTTCAAGGTGTAAAGGAATCCATACAAACCTACGCTGTGTATGCTATTACCTGGATTGCTAACTACAAGCCCGTTACTGGCTGATAAATTTAATTCATGGCACCAAAATGGGGTGACGAAGAAAGCAAAGCCAAGGTAGGCAGGTTGGGAGTCCGAAATCAAAGTCAACAGCGAAAGAAAGATCTGAAAAGAATGACATTCTAGCTCCTCATTTCTTTTCCTTTCAGGCTTTATGGCACTTGGAAGAAACAAAAGCTTTACAGAGAAAAGGCTGGTTTGGCAGAGAAGGCTGGCTTCCCCCTTCAGCTCACTTTCCTGTCTTCCTGGCTCTTTTCTCTTTTGAAACAAAGCACTGAAAGGGCCTGCGTTAAGGCTTCACCTCTCCTCTTCCTTCCTCTCTCTTGCTTCTCTCCTCTATCTCCTGAATAGTTCTGGAGAAAGCAGCATTTACAAACGTGCTGTGCTGTGCTGGGTGCTGAGTCGGCCCTTCTCTCTCTCTGTCTCTCTCCCCGCTCCCTCTTTCTCCCTGATGTAATGTCTCTGAGTTTGTCTGGCTCCAGCTGTCCTCCCCTTGAAGCAGAAAGTGAGGGGGGTAAGTTTGGGGAGACAATCTTGACGTTATTCATAAGGCCGCATTTCGTTCCAGCAACTCTGTTGGATCCACGATAGTGCAAATCTTCAACTGTTCCCCTCTCTTGGAGGATCAAATTTACAGTTTTCTCCTGGCTGTTCTTCATGGTGAGACACTTGAAATCCACAGGCAGACTGAGCCAACTGGGCAGAAAGTGTGGAATTCTGCAAGGCTGCTGAATGAAGTCAGGGACCAGCCTAGCTAATTTGCTGATTTACTCAACTTGACCCAAATGAATTTCTGTGTAAACAAAATTTATGAAGAAGTCTTTGAATAATTCTATTAAATGAAATGCCGGGCTTTTATTTTCCATTTTATTACATTTTCTGAACACTGTGTATTCCAATCATATTGAAACATTTTGTTTTCAGGCTCTGTAGAAAGTGCTGATGGTTGAACCTCAAAAGAATTGAAGGGTTAGTTCATAAATGAATAAAAAGCCAGCGGCATTTATCCAAAGTTTGTTTAACTATCCTAACCTCATGGGCCTGTAAAAATTCAACTGAAAATCATTGAGAAGAGGTTTTCCCATGAGATCCTTTGGCACTTTCTGCTTCTGCTTGGATCAGAAATACCATGAGAGTATCTTTTTTTTTTTACTTGCAACATTTCAACACTCCTAGTTCCATTTGCAGATGGAGAAGAGCAGAGGGGGGAAAAAAGGGAATGGGAGAAAAACATGGTTGAACTTTTCTTAACCTAGAAGTTATTGCAGCTTTTACATGAAATTTCAAGCCAAAACATCCCCGGTTGAGGCCAATTGCCTCTGCCTAGGAAACCTCCCAGTCACAGGGGCCTCCTTCACCAAGGTTCTGGTTGAAGATGGCCATTTCAAATCAAGTCTAGGACATCTGATGGTGGAACTCAGCCTCTGGCCTCACCACCCATTAGCCCAACCTCTCAGGGTGTAACAGATACGGAAATTAAATCATTGATCCAACTAGACCAGTGCTCTGGTGTTCATGGAATAGCGTATTTCGTATCAGTCCTTTAGAAGGAGAGGTTGTGTGAATACATGGATTGCAAAACTAGCCACAATCCTCATATCTGTAGAGACGGCAAGAAGATTAGTGATTGCCTCACACAGGGTCGGGGGAGAGCTGGAGGGAAATGGGAGTGATTGCTAATGGGAATGGGATTTCTTTCTGGGGTTAAGAAAATATGCTACAATTGATTGTGGGGATGATTGCACAACTCTGTAAATATACCAGAAACCATTGAGTTGTACCCTTTAAATGGGTGAATTGTATGGTACGTGGATTAAATCTCAATAAAGCTGTTATACTAAAAGAAAGAACCACAATCCTTCACTCCTCTCTGAGCCCACGCCCTTTGCAATGTGACTTTGCAGCTCTTCCCATCAAGGAATGGGGTCTACGTTCACATCTGTTGACTCTGGGCTACCTTGTGGCTCTTGTTGGCCCATAGAACATGGCAGAAGTGACAGTATGCCAGTTCTGAGACTTAATTCCCTCGAGGCCTTGCATGCTTCTGCTCACTCTTTCTCCACTTCTTCACTATGAAAATGCACCTGGGCTAGCCTCCCGGAAGGTGAGAGAACCTGTGTGACAGAGCTGAGTCATCCCAGCTGAGGCCATCTCAGCCCACCTGCCAGCTGCCTGCAGATACATGAGCGAGCCCAGGCAAGATTAGCCAAGCCTGCCCAGAACAGCTGAACTGCTCACTGAGCCATAGATGCATGAGGCATAAGAAATTGTCATTTTATGCTAAGCGTTGGGGCAATTTGTTCTGCGGCAATGCCTGACTGATACGTGTGGCAATCTCTTTGAGACTCTAGCAGCATGGGAAGAGAAAATGGCACAGGTTGCACTAGTTACCCACTGGGACCATAACTTCACTCCGATTTTTAGTCTTTGACCAAAACTTTCCAATTCTTTCATTTTTCCTGAAATAGTAATGAAACTCATCCTTGGATAGGTCAGAGGTGTGATCATTGGACACTTGCCCTTAGATGGCATGAACATCACATTAACATTTTAGGACCTTCTGGAGAGGAAAGTGCTGGGCTGGTTGGAGCACCCAGCCTTCCCATCAACCTGGGAGGGGCTGTGAAGCATTTTCATCACA